ACTCACCTCCAACAGAGACTTTGTGTTAATAAGTACGTTCTAGAACGCAACCCGGACAGTGCTCCAATTCTTTCTTCATATATTATGGACGAAATATTGGGACCACAATCCCATAGTCTTTTAGAAAGCACGTTTTCTCTCTGTCATTGGTGATTCACCACTGTGTACATAAGGGATTATTAGGGAAATAATTTTTGTATAATTTTTTTTGTATTTTTTTATCTAATTTGATGTGTTATTAAAATAATTAATTTTTTTAATTTATGTGAGACTTATAATATTAAATGTATTTACTTATTTAATGATATATAAAAATTATATAAAAAATTATATAAAATGATTATGTCTATAACACCACCGGTATTATTATTGCCACGCAAGCATGTTCCTTATTGCTACATAAATGTTTTTTTTTATATATATATAATCTCTACGTCATGTAATGATAAACGTTTTTTATGTAATCTCTACGTCAGATAATGATAAATATTTTTTTATTTAGAATTTATTTTAAATTAATAATTATTTTTATATTCAAGAAAAAAAAATTTTTAATACTTTAGTTATATAATTATTTTTTAATGTTAATTATTTGTTTTATTATAAAAATTTTTATTTTTATTTTTAAGTAATAAAATAAGTAGAAATAAAAATTATCTTAAAAATTTTAATATAAATATAGAATAAAAAATATTTATTATTTTAAAATAAATAAAGTAGTTACTAGGGTGTAAATACATAAATCTATCAACTGATTTTATTTTGTTAATTAATATATATGTATCAAGTATTATTTTTTAATATCAATAAAGTAATTCAATAATTAAAAATTTGATACTTCAAGTTAAAAATTTTAAATTCAAATCATCGAAAGAAATTTGAAAATAAAATAAAATAATTATTTTTTGTATAACCTATAATTAATGTATCAAAAAAATCAAGTATTATTTTCTCTATTAAATAATATATTTATGGATCATTATTAATAATATAATTAAATTAAATTAATATTTATAAAGGTAAATAATAAAAATTGTGTGCCAGAACACTTTTTATGTACAGTAATAACCATATCCATGTACATAATGCAGTGTTTTTTTTTCCACTTTAACAGATTCAATCATGGTATTAATTTTTTTAAACGAATTACAATTTAAGGTAGGAATTCCAACTCCAACCTCTAAAAATTAAGGTGTATTTTTGCGACAAAAGATATACCTATTAAGTCCCGAAACACAGATGCAATCATGGCACTAATTTGATTGCATTACAGAATGATTTAACCTCTTTTTTTTTTTTGTGCCGGTGACATTGATTTGACTGGACTACAAGATTTCAAAAACACGTTCTTTTCCTTGTCTCTTTTATGAAAAAAATGATAGAACACTACTCCTCTTAGTGACACACTCAATCAACATTTTTTTTTTTTCTATAGTAAAAAATTTTAAATTAAGTTAGTATCTGTTTTTTTAGAGAATCGAATTAATGATTACATTTGAATCTGGCCTTATGAACCAATGATTCGACCCCAAACTCTAAGTGCTTGGGTGAGGTGGTTGGAGTTTCGAACTCTATTATCGTCGTAAACTCCACCAAAAAGTGACATGATGATCACGCGTTTCATTTGAGGGAGTGAAATGTTCATCCGATCTAAAAACCAATTACTAATAATTAACTAACATTAATTTCCTAACCATTATCCTTATAAAAAAAAAATTAATGATTACATTTCATCTACTGTTAATAAACAGCATGGTCACATGGGATATTGCAATATATTAATTCTATTATCACATGATTTATTATAAAAATAAACTAATATTAGGTTTACAACATGCCATTATATTATCATTTTGTTTATAAAAATAATACTTATTGTTTGATTTATTTAGTATTAATCATTCGATATTTATAAATCACATTAAATTTTAATTAATTTAAAATTAAATTTTATTAAATTTTATTAAAAAAAACTTTTTCAATATATGTTTTTTATTCACAAAATTTAAATTTAAGATTTTATTTTAAAAAAATCAAATTCTTTTTATTTGAATCAATAAATTATTAATATATCAATTTTTTTTTTTTTATTTCCCGCTCGGTATCCAAGACTTTGCTCCAACTAATCCAGACAAGACCCGCGTCGCGCGCTTGGAAATGGTGGGTGAGTTTCCCAATGGGAGCTGCTGCATACACAACGTCTCAAACTCGAGATCTTGTTTAAACTGGAATAAACCACTTATCACTTGATTCAACCCCTCATTGGTAATATATATCAATTATTTGATAGATTGTAATTATAATATCAATTATTGCTATCCTTTAGGTATCAAATTCTATGTTTGTAGATAATTTATGAGTCTCCTGCTAAGTTCACCTAATTCAGTCGAAAAGTAAGTTTTTCATGCGTGTATTAGGTGACATGGGAACCACCACCGGGGATGTAGGACTGGTTGTCAACAGTGCTTCCATCGGGTGTCGGCTTAGCTCTAATAGTAGTAATATGTTATGATTATATTTCTTTTATGGGTGTTCGCGTTATGGGTTTTGCTTTAAAGTTGTAGTTTTCTCATGTTGCTTTCATTTTTTGTGGATCGTAAACAACTTAATTTTTTTTGGTTTAGGTAAAAGTCTCAAATTTGTCCCTTAAATAGAAAAGTAAGGATAGATTCATTTAAAAAAAAAAACAAAAATAAATTATTTATTATTTAATATATGTTGTCATGATGCATTAACTTTTTGTTAAAAATGTTTAAGTGACAAATAAATTTTTAACGTTAAAAAATGTTTAGATGACAAACAAATTTTTGTGATACATCATTTGTTAAATAATAAAAAAATTATCTTAATAAATCATTTAAAGTGATAATTTGTTCTTACTTCTTTTTAGAAGTAAATTTATTCTTACACTCTTATTTGAATAGCAGATTTGAGGGTTCTGTCCTTCTGTTTAATGCATTTTTAATGTTGTCAAGGCTGAAAAAAAAAATATAATTTGTGCCTATTAGGTGATAATAAGTTTAGACTTTATTTGTTAGTATAGTGTTGTGCTGTGTTCTATAGTATCAAGCAGCTATAATCATAGAAATTTTTTATTTTTTATTATTTTAAAAATATATAAAATATTAATTAAAATTAACAAATATATATAATTAATTAAAAATAATAATTTTTCATTTTAAAATAAAGTGTTATGTCAAAACTTAACTTGAAACATATAAACTGGTTTGTAAACTGTGAAAAATCTCTTTTTATAGTCTAGGACAATAAGAATTTCAAAAGGGAATTCCAAATCAATTTTATTAGAAAGAGTTCCTCCCATTAAATTGTCTTGTGCAATTTGTGAGATTGTTGTGCTCTCATAAAATAATAAAAGACTTAAACCCATCACATTGATTTGAAGTAAAAGCATTACAACACAAGTGGGGGACACGCAGGAAAGGCATCCACAGGGAAAAAGAAGAAGAAAAATAATCTAGAGCGAAACACGGTAGGAGATTCAAGGAGAAGGAGAAGGAGAAGGAGAACGAGAAGGTGAAGGAGAAGGATAAGGATAAGGATAAGGAGGCATTGCAGAATCGAAGTAAGGCTTACAGGGAATGTAAACATAAGACCAAAACCGGGGACAAAACCTGCGATAAGCAAAGAACTCTACACACTCATGTACTGGTCTCTGGAATGGAAGATCCGGAATGCAGTTGTTCCTAACATCAAGCACTCCTCTATGGATTAGAACTCTACACAGAGGCCCAACACTGTTAAAATAATTGTCAGACAATGATAAATTCGCCAGATTTGGCAATCCGCACACCACCTCCGGTACCACCCCGAACAGAAGGTTTCTGGCAAAATTCAGTTGTTCCACCTTCTCCAGACAGGCTAACGAGAAGGGTAAAGGACCAGTCAACTGGTTGTTTCCGGCATCAAACACCACAGCCTCTTTCAAGTAACCAATTTCGTACGGCAGACAACCTGTTAGCTGGTCGTTTATCAGCAAGACTTCGGTTAGAGAAGACAGGGCTTTGAAGATGGCTTGGGGAAGCGAGCCGTTGAATTTGTTGTTGGCTAAAGTGAGGTAGAGGAGACGGGTTGTGCTGATGTTCTCCGGCAGCTGCATCGTGAAACCGTTGTTGTTGATGAACAGGGCATAGAGATTTTGTGTAAATATCTGTCCGGGGACCGATCCTTCAAAGGAATTGAACCGAATGTCCAGGAACTGCAGCCCATTCATGCCCAGAACCGCCGTCGGGAACTTACCGGAGAACTGGTTGTTACTTATGTCAAGCTCGTAGAGATACCGAAGCTTGGCAATGTTTGGAGACAGAGTACCGGAAAAGTTGTTGGAATTGGCGTGGAACAGAGCAATATCCGGGAGCTGATCAAGGAAGCCGTTCAGACTCGGAGCAGAGAGACGCAAGCCGTTGAAATCGACGGAAGCGACGGTGATTGCGGACTTGTTGTCAGGCGGGCTATCACAGTAGAATCCTCTGTAACTGCATATATCAGAACCCACCCAGGTTTTGGTGATGCCTAGGGGATCAGACGTGATTATGGATTTGAATCTTTGGATTACGGGGTAAACTGCGGCAAGCCTCTGGTCAGCAAAAACCAGAGCTTTTTGTTTGGAAGGCGAAGGCGAGATTGCTCCAGCGACACCATCAGGGATTACTACACGATCAGCGATTATTCCAGAGACACCATCAGTGAACTCTAGGGCCTCTCTGCTTGCATCATGAGCTGTAGTGTGGAGGATGAAACAGGGGAGAAAGATGAAAAGAAGTGAAAGTCCAAGAGTAGTGGGAATACTCATTCTCTAGCTTGCTCTGTTCAACTCTGAGTAATAGAAGAGAAGATGGGTGATATGAAGAAGTAGAGGGAGACAGCAAGCAGCACTAAAAGAATCATTTGGAGGCTGCACTGTTGTTACCACTATTATTGATTAAGTGTCTTTATTGACCAAAAGTTGATCATTAGCATTTACTTGATTAAATCCCAAATAGAAGGAGACTGACCATATTAATCAAGCGTTGTCGGTTAGTATCAAATTGACCAAGCTTGTAATACATCCAGTCCAATTTAGTTACCACTCTTTCTAAACAAATGATGATGCAATTTACTTATCAAATTTTATTTTAAACATAATATTAAATTTTTATTTATTTATTGTAATTGAATTGGTTAAAAATGTCATCCATCCCTTTTTTTTCTTTTTTTTTAATAAGAAATATTTTTAAAAGGAAAACAACTCAAATTCCCTTATTAATAAAGATAAATATAACATTTTAATTACTAAAAAATATATTTTATAAATATTTATAAATTTCTCCATATTCATGCCAAATAAAAGTGAGATAAATAAAACATAGAAAAGGAAAGACCAAGTGATTTACAAGATTAAGGGTTTGTTTGATTTGCAGAAAATAATTTCATGTTAAAAATATTTTTTGTGGAAAATATTTACTTTTTTAAAAAATTGTTTTTATTACTTAAAACATTTTAGAAAACTTTCTATGTAAAATGTTTTTTATTGTTTAGTAAGCAAGGAAAATGCATCGACATGTGTGCTGTTTACTAATAAAAGATGCTAGATTTATTTAACCACAGGGACCCTATTGAACATTTTGAAAATTAGTGGACTTATTTATGTTTTTCAATAAAGTAAAAGGACTTAAATCTGAAATTTTTCACACGCCACAGTACTGGCAAATTCGTTTGACAGAGGTTTCGGGCCGGACGGCCCGCATGCTTTTGGAGAAATTAATTTCTAGATTTTCTGAAAAATCAGGTTCAGCTTTTCCTGTGACCAAAATTTATTTTCATTGACCCATCTTCCAAATGGTGTTCAAACAGCGAAAAAATATAGGAAATTATTTTCAAAAATTATTTTCGGCTAACCAAAAAGACCCTAATTGGAGCAAGAATGTAGTAAGAAGGTTAAAATGTTAATTTAGTCCCTCAACTTTTAGATTTGTATTTAAATTGTGCTTTAATTTTAAAAAGTATCAAAATGTCTTTAAACTTTAATTTTTAATATTAAAATAGTTCTCAAACTTTAAAGATAATACTAATTTAATCCTTAAATTTTGAAAAAAAGTACAAACTTAATCTTTGAACTTTGATTATGAATACTAATTTGGTCTTTCAACTTTGATTATATATTAATCTAATTTGTAAATAAAAATATAACACATTAATAAAATATAACTATTTAATTTTACACGTCATTAGTATTTAAAAAAAAAACTAATTTTATGACAAAATAATAAATTACGTGACATTTATGTTAACAAAAGGACTTTTTTGGTATTAAAAATTAAAATTTATGGATAATTTTGGTACTTTTTGAAGTTGAGGAATAATTTCGATATAAATCTAAAAGTTGAGGGATCAAATTGGTATTTTAACCTAGTAAGAATGATAATGATTTTGAGACTCGTGAAATAGGGGGTGATGAAGGAAATATGAGAAATGGACGATTGGGCCGGTGGGAATAATGATTTGAGACTCATTCTTGGGCCATAGCGTGATCCACCAAACCAATCTCATTTTCTCTCTTCTTTTAAACTCGTAGGTAACGAGATGAGTAAGAAGAAAAATGGGCCCAACAAAAATCCTTTGAGCCCACCAGGCCTTGAGTCTCTGTATGTGGACATTTCGGAGTGGCAAATTATGATTACTTAGCCCATTATCAGAGTTTTATTTCAATTCAAACCCATTGCGTTTTTGTCGACGCACAAATAAAAATATGAATATTTAGTTTTACATCTAAATTGTATTAAATTATAAAATAAAAATAATTAAATTAAAATAAAACTTTTAAATATCGAAAAGTTTATCTTTATTTAATAATTATAATTATACAATTCAATACTATTTCAATTGCGTAACACTTTTTTCAAAAAAAAATATTATTAGAGGCAAATTTTTGACTAGTTACGGTAGTGCTGGTGGTACTAGTCATACGAGGTAGAATGTCAATATTATATATTAAAAGCTCAAAATTAAATTCATAGTTGATTTTTATTTTTAACAAGTTCTAATATGTAGAAAGAGAGATTCGAACGTCAATTTTAAGGTTAAAGTGTGTACCTTACGATCAAACGTATAATTATTAAGTCACAAAACTTAGGTGTAATTTATAATTTATTAAAATCAAATTAATCACTAACCTTACATAAAATTTATTTAGTGGATTGAGTTTAAATCTTACGAGTCCTTTTCTTATTTTTGTCT